TTTTATGTGATACACAGGTTTATGTATAATAATAAACTATTGTTAATAAATCAATCTTGGTCTCAATTCCTGTCAGAAGAACTTGCGTCACATCTGTTATTAGATTGGAAGTAATCTTGAAAATGTCACAAGAACCTTGGTTTTTTGCAATAGATTAATAAACTATTCCTTTATTTGTTTTTTTTAAAGACCTTTCTTCCAAGAGCTTGCTAACTGGGGATATTGATGAAAATTTTTATGTAAAATATTTGGAAAGGTGGTAATGACCTTAGGTTTTAGTCTCTCCCTCTCCAGTTGAAATATTTGTAAATGATAATTCAGCAACATTTAAAATAAGAGCACCGTGAAGCAATATTTTATGATAGGCATTCAAATATGAGTGTTAATTTCAGGTTTTTTAGAAATAGTTTTGGGGTAGCCATATTCTTTTGTAGACTGCCAGAAAAAATATGGAATGCGTGATCTCCCAATTATTAGGTATGTTTGCCACCTTCAAATATTTATAAAAAAAATAAAGGCAGAACATAAATAAACATTTACAATCTTTTGCAAAAGGCAAAGAGCATTCTGTAATAAAATTTTATTTTATTTGCATAGCATTGGCATAAGCAGGTTTTCATGCATTTCTGCATATTTTAATATAATTGATTTTAATTGAGATATGATGCATGTCACTTAGTTATCAGAAAGACTGTTGCTGGTTTATCTGTTTGGTCTTCTGTTTTGTTATCATGGTTGATGGTCCTCTTGCAGATTCCTGTTCTTTCTTCCTTTTCACATGTTTTATCTTTAAACTATCTTCAGAAAGAACACCACTCTCTGAAAAATAAAATTCATGGTTGCTCTATATTCTGTCAGTATTTTTCAGAGCTTTATCTTGTGTGAATGAATTTTTATTTCTCTGTTTTTATTTTTTATTTTTCTATCTATATTTTTTATCAGGGTCTGGGTCTATAACTATAGCTGTTTATGACAGTCGATGTAGAGTAGTAGTTAAGGTGCTGGAGTAGGAGCGAGATACCCAAGTCCTAGTTCTCCCTTGGGTACAAAGTCAGTTAGATGACTTTGGGCTAGTTCCTCTCTCAGTGGGGGAAGAATGGTCTACCAACTAGCACTGCCCCTCAGGATAGGTTACAGTCTGTAATTCTCAATGGTGGATTGTTGATGATGGAGAATGAATAGCCTCTGTTTGTGTGTGTGTGTATGTGTGTAATAAAAAATAAAGGCTATTCAGTGCCACATGCTGTTAAATTAAATGCTATCTAATTGGAGTTTCGGTTGGTTTAATGCTTTGTATTGATCTCAGTCGGAGGGCTTAGTGGATAATTTTCCCTTGCACAGCCTCTCTATCATCTGCCCCATGTCAGTTTCTTTTCCTATGAGGTAAAATAGAGGGAATGATAGGTGCTTTCTTCTTTCGCCACTGTTTGCATTTTCTTTCAAGAAATATTGAAGTAGTTTGATTATTGCTTCCTATTTTAGTGTTTCTTAATTTTGGTAAAATTTTAATATTTGTATTTGCCATTTCTGCCATCTGGCCATATATTTAATTTCCATTTCTAATATGCATTTTTCCCCTTTAGATTATCCTTCAGGTTTCCAGTTCCTTCTCTGTTTTTTAAGGTTTGGCCTCAACCCATTTAGGTTCCAAAGGCTGAACTCAGAATTTTAAACTGAGCCAAAATGTTAAGTAGGACTGGAGGAAAATAATTCATATTTTGTTCATTTAACTTTTCCAACTACACTCACAAAGTGAGATAATTGCTAGAGTTCCATGGATCCAGAGATAACTGGCTGCATTTCTGGGAAAGGCCATAGTTGGTAATCACAAGGTATCTCTTAGCATCTGAGGAATTGGTAGACCAAAGGCCACCTTCAAATTGTCTATTAAAATTATTTACTTGAATTGAATTTCAGTTTATTTTCCCTGACTTGTTCCTAATTTGTGAAGTTTACTGCCTCTCTTGGATCCACAGATGTAAGCCAAATATAATCCATATATTAATGTTTTGGGTTTTTTTAATAGAAACTTTCTTGGATTAATTGTTAATTTTAGCTACATTATTGTTTGTCAGCTACCTATAGTCCTTTGATATTTGGAGTGGCCTTGAAATGCCATTAAATACATAGATTTCATTCCAAAGCTTGAGGAACGATTTCATTCCATGTTAAAAACAACGTGAGAGAGAATTCACATTTTGTGAAATAGTACAGTAACTTACTTTAATAAAATCAGAGCAATAACCAAATAGTTTAATTCACACCAAATTCATCCATATTCTTGTGCTTAATGGAAGGTATGAAAAGTTTCAAAACAAGAATCGTATTATTTTTCTGTTTTTAGCAGCAAAGGCTCTGATTGCTTACCATTGGAAATATCTGGATAATCTTGCTTGAGAAAAAAATGTTTGGATAAGGATTATTCTTTTGCCCTGCTTGAGAGGTCTCTGATAACATCCACCAACTTAAAACACAAAATGGGAACTCATTATTGACAGGTTTTATCTGTTTGACAAAGGACAAAATGACTTCTAGAAGGATGTATGGAAAATTTAAATGGCTTGCAGTAAGAATGTAAAAGCTATTGTGTGTAATGTGATGTATAGAAACTTAATGTCACTGCTTTGAAATGGTCAGCCATTTAAATAGTTTAAATAAATAAATGAGTATTGCAAAAATCAAATAAAATATGAATAAGCATGCATACATGTTCCTGCACAGACACATGGTAGTCTACCAGTGCTTTTTAAGACAACCTTTTAAAGAAAGGAACATAATATTTTATTGCTATAATATTACATTGTGACATCAACATAAAACAATTATTTGCAAAGTGTAGGAGAGATTTGCATGTTTGTCCAGTATCAAAAGAACCACATTGGAGTTGAGGGAAGAACAGTTAGAGAATTGCAGCCATAGATTGGAAGAGAAGATTTAAACAAGGAAATGGTTGGGTTTAATTCCTGAGAACTAGGTGGCTTTTCAACTATGAGTTATTGTGCACAAATATTGTGGTATTCCTGTTCAAGCTTTTTTAAGAATCCCCAGTAAGTGGTGGAACCGGCTGAATCCCACCATTGGTTCAGGATCTTTCAATGCAGAGCAGGTAAATCTGCTTGAAGGTTACCTCAGTCAGTCAAAAGCCCATAAAACAGGTCTGTTCACTAGTCCCTTTTATATGATCACAGCCCTGCTTTGGCAGAGAAAGTATTTTGCATATGTTGTGTTCAATGGATCTTTTGTGCTCAATGGGGCCCTTGGTATTTTCAGAGCTTGGTTGTTTTCTTCATTACCCAAAATACATAACCTCATCAATGCTAGATGATGCAGTGCTGTTTATATACAAGTGGTTTATCCTGTCACTGTTGGTGAAGTGTTCTTGGTAGTTCCTTGATTAAGCTGCAGTTTAGTTTCATTGGTTGTCTTGAGTAGTTCCTTGATTTGGGGTACTGTTTACTCTTATTGGTAATGAAATGTCTGCAAGAAAACGTTTCAAGAGCCCCAAGGACCCTACAGTTCAACTCTGAGCTGCAAGTATTCTCTCTCTTTTTTATATATATATTTTTGTGCTCCAATGAGCAGTTAGAGTTGATTTCCTGTATACATATATCTTTTAATGCAACCGAGACTGCAACTTTGGGATGTAAATTAGGATGTAAATGCAGAGAAGTAGAAAGAATAAAATCATTCCCATTTTAGGGCAGAAGTTCAAAAGACATTTGAATGGTTGCTTGAAAGTAACAAGCTTTTAACAAGATGAATAATTCTAATGCATGATGAAGGAATCAAATTGATTGTTGTCTTGCCGAAGAGCGGCACCCTCTGCTAGCATGAGTATATCAGTACCTAATGCTTATATTTTGGGAGATTCAGTATTCTCGTTGCTCTGAATGTGTAGTAAGTTTGGAGATCTTCCTTGGAACCAGGGGCCATTTGTAATTGCTTATGCCCCCACGCCAGTTCAGACACAAAGGCTTTATATAATTGGGCTCTGAAGGCATCTAGTTCATGCCACATAATTACCCTGACCAGCTCAGTGGCACTCTGATGCAGCATTTAAAAACTTCATACCACTGACACAATGGTATTTGGATCTAATTAGACTTTAATTTGATGTCAATTTAAATTAAGAGGCCTTGCACATACTAGCCCATTGTGACTTGGGTAATACTAATCTCAATCAGTAAGCTGAATACAACATGAAGTCAGATTCTCACAGTACAATAGAAGTGACAGGAGCAACTTGACACTTTAAATTAAAATTACTAAATTCCAAGCAATTGATGTGTGTGACCCCAAGCTATAACAGGATAGGTCATTAAATGCGATCCATAGAAATTGAGCTGAGAAGCAGACTCTAATGAACCAGGGAAGGAAACTAAAGTGCTTTGTTAGCAGGCTGTGTAGGTGAGAGCAAGCAAGGAGCTTTGCAGTAAAAGAAATAATTTGATGAATGGATGTTTCCCTTGTTTCTTCAAAACAGCCTTAAAAATCATGGCAACCAAGATTTGCCCATTAGGGCAAAAGGATGAAAGAAATAACAAAACCCCAGTTAATACAATGGTTAATACATTTCTGGTTATTGAAATTAAATATTTTTTTTTCTTCACTGTAATTCAAATGTGGCAGATATTTTCTTTAATGATTTAATTTTAAATAGATCAGTATTATAACAAAAATTGGGTGTCCTATAGTCTTTTTGTGTAGGAAAGACTATACATAATATGTGTATATGATTTAGCATGTAGTTACAAAATTATATCCCCTTTTTTGTGTGTGAAAGAAGCTATTACTTTGACATATCTTATTATGTTAAAAGTATTAAACTACATGCCAGGGTTCATAATTGAACCCAGAGTCCAGCAGCTAGCTATTGTGCTTCCATGTCGATAATATTCCTTGCTGTTTCTCAAAATAGTGAGGATGGTACTGTAGATTTAAAATTGCTACTGAATTCTCAGTAACATTGTTAACTGTGGTTCTAACTTCTTTCTTTCAAGCACCGTGACTTCAGCTGTTTTCACTGTGGGGGACAATGTAGTTTCAGGTAGTGATGATCGTACTGTGAAAGTTTGGGACTTAAAAAATATGAGATCACCCATTGCCACTATTCGCACAGACTCTGCAGTAAACAGGTAAGCCATAGTCCATTTAATCTGGTAGACATTTGTTTAATAAAAAGTGGTGCTCAGATCACAACATATTTTAAGAGTTAGTAGAAAATAATAGAAAATAGCTACTGTTTTGAAATGCCCATTTTTTCTTAATTTCTTCCTGAAATGCATTGTTGTCTTTGGCATCATGGTTTGAAAAATAGCATTCTAGTGTGGCAGCTAAAGACCGATTTTTGTCTAATCAGTTGTGCTATTTTGAAACAATGGCAACTAAGCTTTGCCCATTAGGTCTTTGGTGCCATGTGCTTTTGGACCATTTTTGCAGAAAAGGCTTTTAAATTAATGCAAATTGATCACTTTTTTTTTAGTATTTGGGAGTGGAATATTTGTGATCTGCGTGTTCTTCTCCTTAGGATCCCTCGCATTTTGTTTGATTTGAATAATTTACATGCAAAGGATCCATTTATACTGGTGTTTTCTCAATCTTGGCAACTTTAAGATGGATGGATTCTGGAAGTTGAAATCCAGTCATTTTAAAAGTTGCCAAGGTTGAGAAACACTAGTCTACACAGCTAAAGTACTTCAGATGAATTGCGTGCAACTTTTCTATTCATGGTTTTAGCAGAGACCCTTAGTGCTCATTCCATTAAGTACTAACTGCAGAGGGGTTTTTCTTTCCTAAGGGAATCAGGATGGACCTTGTCTGTATAAGTGTGAGCTTCAGAGGGTTTTTTTTTGTCTTTAGCAAAAGACTATGGGGTATATCTGGTGATGTCTTTGTGAATGTCTATGATACCATCAGCACCAGAAACAAACCATTTTTTTGTAAAATAAAAATAAAAATTATATTTGTGGGAACTGTGTGTAGCATGAAATTCCAATTAAATCACTTTCAGTGGCCTTGAACTACTGTCAATTCCTAGCAAGCTTTCTAATTTATTTTTTTTTATCTCCTCTGCACAGGATTAATGTTTGTGTCGGTCAAAAAATCATTGCCCTTCCACATGACAACCGACAGGTTAGATTATTTGACATGTCTGGAGTGCGATTAGCACGTCTTCCTCGTAGCAACAGACAGGTAGCAGAACTTTAGTTATTTCTTTAACATCTCTTTCATTCTTCCCTTAAGTTATTTTTCTGCATGTTACAAAATATTTATTATTTAGTTGAAACCTAGCATGTTGTTGCAGAAAACCACGCAATTGCCATTAAATTAAAAACAGTTGTACTCTTTTCCTCTACGGATAGACCTTGACTTACAACCCTAATTGAACCCAGAATTATTGTTGAAGTTATTGCAGTCATAAGTCGAGGCATCAGTTACAGCCATTTTTTACAATAGTCATTAAGTGAACGCTACGGTCATTAAGCAAACACTACAGTTAAGTGAATCCATTTTCCCCAATGGGCGATTTTGCCAGAAGCTGAAAATAAACACTGGGAACAGGCCAAAAAAAAAAAAAAAGGCAAATTGTGTGATCACGTAACTGCAGAACACGCACTGCAAATGGTCGTACAGATGAGCCCAAGTGTATATGTGGCTGGTGTAACTTCGAAAATGGGTCATAAGTAGTTCTCAGGGAGGCCATCAAAAGGGTTTGGTATCTTGCAAACTAAAACTCACTGGATTTGAGACCCTGTTTGGATTTAATTCTAAATGGCCTCACCTTTTAAAGCAGTGGTGGAGAGCCTCTTGGAGGTCAGTTAATACTTTTAGCAGCCTAAAGGTTTTTAGGAGCCTAAAAATTTAGGCTCCTAAAACAGTGAATAATGATGCAAAATGGGCAACACTGTGTCACATATGTGGACAAGGTCAAGACTTTTGGTTTTCTCCTTGAAATATTTTCTTTAACTTTGATTGGCATGGTAAATTATGGATACTATGGATTTAAACTTCAGTCGTTGGCTATTCCTTGTCTCAAAAGGGCTGAAATTGTGCTGCAGTTAAGCAGTAATATTGGTCAGTGGGAGATCTTAGGTTAAGGAAACAGGATCCAGAGATTTCTCATTCATATTTTAAGCTCTAAAACTTAGCAAATGTAAGAGATGTAGACTTCATTTCCCAGAATTCCTCAGCCAGCCATACCATAAAGATCACCATATGACAAATCCCTTGTCCCAAATGACAAGTAGTAGACCAGCTACCCGAACCCTCTTTAATAAAACTTTTTGATATGTTTCCTCTGCCATCATCATCATAATGATGAGCCTGGTGATAGAACAAGTTGGAACTATCTCATTACAGAGATTCAATTAAAAGCAAATTTGATTTCTTCTGGAGTCAGGTGAAACTGTTTTATTTAATAAGTTTCTTAGGTGCAATAGAGACTGGCAGTGTCCTGTTACTTTTTCCCCCCAGTTCCTATTTTTTAATGTACTGAGATCTTAAATAATCCAGTAACAACTTGAAATGCTTTGTGAAGTGTGAAAAACCCTACTTTATGCCCTTTTTTTTTTAAAAAAAGGGCTTTGTTTCTGTATTTGTTTCTGTATCTAGGCTTGCGAGTGTATGAAGTCATTTATATAATGTTTATTTATTTTCTTATATTTATATTCAGCTTTGTGCTGAAACTCAAGTGGTTTATATGAGGTGACCTATATTTTTATACTCATCGCAACCCTGAGATAGATTAGATTGAAAGATGATGATTGGTCCAAAATCACCTCGAGAAGTTGAGAATATGGTTCTCCTTAGTCTTAGTCTAACATTTGAGTTATTTATATTTCTTGCCATTGTATATTAAAACATTGAACTGGGACTAAGGAAAAATTTCCTGACAGTTAGAACAATTAATCAGTGGAACAACTTGCCTCCAGAAATTGTGAAAGTTCCAACACTTGAAGTTTTTAAGAAGAGACTGGACAACCATTTGTCTGAAATGGTATAGGGTTTCCTGCCTGAGCAGGGGATTGGACTAGAAGACCTCAAAGGTCCCTTCCAACTTTATTATTGTTATTGTTTATTGTTATTGTTTAAGTTAGTCATGTGAATGAAGTCACTGTAATGTAACAGCCAAACTATCTCTCACAAAAGGATTTTTTTCAAGGCTGTTTGTACAAGCTTGTGGTTTGTACAAAAAAAGTCTGCTAATTCCAATAACAGATTTTTGAATGTATCACTGCTTTGTGTGATTTTACATCTAAAAAGCAAAGTGTATTAAATCTGACCTAGAGTGTTCATTTTGAGAAGTGCAGTCACAATATACTAGGTTGAGGAAGGATGCTGTCCATTTTTAGTTAGGCTGTGGACATTCCGTACCCATAGAGTTCAGCCCAAACCAGTGTTTAAACAAAAGGTTTAAAGTTTATTTCAACATACAGATAGTCCTAGACTTACAACCACAATTGAGCCCAAAATGTCTGTTGCTAAGTGAGACAATTGTTAAATTGTCTTGAATGCATTTGGGTCAATATAAAAGGGGGAAAAATGACATTGCCATAGGTGTATACTACAGGCCACCCAACCAAACAGAGGAAATAGATGAACTTTTTGCTAGTCAGCTGACTAAGGTATGTAGGAAGCACATCACAATAGTAATGGGAGACTTTAACTACCCTGACATTAACTGGGACACAAACTCTGCACCAAGTGGAAGATCAAACAGGTTCCTGGCAAACCTAGCAGACAACTTTGTCTCCCAAAAGGTAGAGAAGGGAACTAGGGGATTAGCCATTTTGGATCTAATTCTCACTAACAGAGATGAAATGATAGAAGGTGTTGAAGCCACAGGAACCTTGGGAGGAAGTGATCATGCAATATTAGAATTCAACATTATGGAAGCACAAGCAATATAACACAGTCAAACTTGAAGTCTTGGACTTCAAGAGAGCTAATTTTAATAAACTTAGAGAGGGCTTGGGAAGGATTCCATGGAGGAGAATCCTCAAGGGGAAAACAACACAAGAAGCTTGGGAAATTTTGAAAAGTGAGATAATAAAAGCCCAGTCTAGCACAATACCAACAAAGAGGGAAAATAACAGCTCTCAAAAGAAACCAGCATGGCTGCATAAAGAACTCTCTGACAAATTGAAAGATAAAAAGGACAAGTATAGAAAGTGGAAAGGGGGGCACATAACTAAGTCAGAATATCAGCAAATAGCCCGAGCCTGCAAAGATGAAGTGAGGAAAGCCAAGGCTCAAAATGAACTAAGGCTTGCGACCAAAGTCAAAAATAACAAAAAAAGCTTCTTTCAACATGTAAAAAACAAGAAAAAAGTGAAGGAAATGATTGGTCCATTAGTGGGTGAAAGTGGCAAGAAGGTG